TTCTTGTTACTGCTCGTCCTGAGCGTGTTGTAGCTGGCCGCTCGTCTACATATTCCTCGTCTGAGGCGATAAAAGAAAGAACTATATCATTTGAGTCGTCTTCAGAGTCAGGGGCATCACTCTTGTAATCATCATCAGTTTCTTCTCCCTCACGGCTTTCACCACTGCTGTCTAGTTGACCTGATTCATTGCTGCCTCTCACTTCGGCTTGACCTGTTCTGAGAGTATTCATCTGCAGGAAGTGTCCCATAATTGTCTTCACTTTGTCATTCTTGCTGCTCTTCTGATCCTGTTTTAATAGCCCATTTGGATCTGTAAGTCACTATCCGTGATAATTTAACATTCTGCAAAGAAAACTGACGAGCTGGGCCCAGCGTGATACAGCTTTGCAGACAAACATTACACTCACGGACTAAAGAAAATCGCTTAGTTATTCAGATCCAGAAGGCACTTTGGAGAAAATTGGAACCCTTATTCAGCCGTAATAAAAAAGCTTTACGCTCCAAAAGAGGTCAAAGAAAATGCGCTTGCATCAGAGGGCAAATCCTGCCGACCAGAAAAAATAACTACAGTCAATCGATATGTATGTCATGACCTCTCAGTGTGAAACATGTGGCTAAAATCGCATTTGCTCAGTATTAATGCAGAACCTTCCAGAGCATAATCTACCCAGCAGATAAAAACAACTTAATTGGAATAAGCAGCATTTTGGCATGAGGTAAAAGTCGTGTAGGCCTACCACCCCCTTTTGTTGCTTTTCAAGACTGTTATTATGGTATGTTCACTGTCCTTATAAAATATAAAAGCTGTTGAGAAGTTTTCTTGTTACCCTGGAACTGTTTTAGCATATTTGTTATTTCTTCCATTTGTAAACATCCTATCTTTAATCTAATTTTTTCGTCCGACCCCCCCCCTTTCCTTCATTTTTTTTCGGCTGGCCCCCCCTTTCAAGCCAATTTTTTTCGAGTGGCCCCCCCAAATCCCACCAGCCCCCCCTCTCTCATAAAAAATGAACGGTCCCTTAGTTCTCATTACAACCAATTGATTTTGTTACCTTCATAATTTTAATTGATTTGATCTTCTCATGGCCTTTCAGGCCAAACAACAAGAATGAGAACCAATGGGTCTAAATACTGCACTTGTAAAAAGGTAAGAAATTCCCTTTGAATATATACATGTATTTACCAGAATATATATGCAGCGTAGCCTAAAACAGAAGCTACAAATTTTTGGCTTGTTTTCTTGTTCTAATAATTTGTCAATAACCCAACCTGGTTGGCTGTAAACTGTAACAAAATAATGCAACCTTGATGGGACCTACACTTGATATCGTCAGATGTTACTGGTCTGCGGATGCCTGGTTGGGACAGCTGTCAATAGACCGTGCGATGGACATCCGATGTAAAAGTTAACCAAGGCAATTAAGGCAAACATGCAACCTAGATTAATCATTTGGTTAATTGGGAGAGCAACAGGCACCATGTCGTGCGATGTTGGAGTTATGTACATTCATGGGCCCATGCACCAGCAAGTAATTGCCACTAACCATTATGACGTTACAAATGAAATGCATGAGTTTCTATCTAATAGTTTCCATCATAAATACTTATGGGCTCCACACCGCAGACCTTCGGGCTGCCATAGCTATTATTCAAATAGCATGGGATTTGTAGAAATTTTTTGAAGGTAATTAAAAGGCAGCAATTTTTTACAGCAAAGATCACAAGAAGAAGAAAACGAAATGCTAGTGTGTGAAACAAAGAAAAAAGCTCAGGTATTGAGAGTTAATTAACACCTAACATGTTAGTAATGACAACCAACAAGGTTGGCTTTCAAAGCCCTAGAGGATAGCTGAAAACATTAATTTCATTTGGAAATGTTTTCAAAAATGTCTCTTGGTAGATCCGATTTCAGCAAGTAAACAAATTGTAACATTCAAGGTCCACATTTATTTGCCACCATATTTTAGTTACATATTTTTCATACACATAGAGAATACCTGAACTTAGTATATACTAAAACAGTGGATAGCATTGAAGGCGCGCGCTGATTGGTGCGTCAAACTCCGAATATCCTGTGCTATTTACCTCCGGGCAATTCGAGAGAAAATGGCGTCCCGGTTTGCATCCGTGAAAAGTGAAGAAATGATCCAAATTTTTTGTGGTGTATATTATCTCACTGTTGTAGTATATACTAAAACAACTATTCACCTCAGTGTTGGTGTTTAGCGGTGTCTATTTACCTAGCCGCTTTGCGGCTCAGTTAATCCTTGCCACTAACCACCTCCACTTGGGTGAATAGTTGTTAAATAATAGTGACGAGGGAGCCCACGAGAAGCCAGAAGGCTATTAAATGATGGTCTCCCTTGGACCAGCAATAAAACTAGTGAATTTTTTCTGTCAAATTGTTAAACAGAATTCAATTTTACACTGTAACATTTCCTTAATAATCTGCTTTCCTATTGGCAAAGTTTCGAAAAAATCATTGTTTAGACTCTACCCCAGATGAGGATGCTCAAAGAATGCTCATTGCAACTCATTGCAACTATCCATGGCTAAAATACTGAAATCCTTAAACTATTTGGATTCATGCGTATATCCGGAATCAATCTAATTCTTGGTTCAAGTTTTTTTAAATAATATGGTGATATATGCATAACTAAAAAAAATGGAATTCCAGCTCACCCTTCAGAAAAATTTCAATGACTGTGTACTTTTTTTTGTCGCTCTTTTGATGATTAGGTAGTCAGCAAATGACATTTCTCGTATAAAAGTCACGTTCTCCACATGAAAAATAAACTCTTGTTAGATGATTATGAGTTGTGACACAAAGGAGAAAATATGAATCAAGGATAAATTAAAACCATAACAAATAAAATACATATTATATGTTTGTCAGTACATTTTCCTCTTAAGAAGAGATGAGCATACTTTCATTGTAGTGCCTAGGGAAAGGTTACTATCACATGTCATGCTTGGCATTGACAGAACTTCCCAGAGAGAAAAAGTGGTAAGTAAAAGGCACGTTCACTGTCATGTTACTAAGATGTTTATCAGTTTCTACACCATCAAGGTTTATCTTTTCACCAGCATGCAACCTGCATGTCGATTAATCAGCTTTATATTTAAAAAGATTGATTTTGAAAATTATCCTAATAATATATTCTTTTTTCCTCAAGGTACTGCAGTGAATCCTGCAAGAAGGCAAAGTAGGAAGGTAATATGCTTATTCTCAGCATGGTGAAAGCTTGTAGTATGACTATCTGTGATGTCTGACTTGTACCCGGCCTTTCCTAAAAGAGATTTTGTTCACTATAACACATTGCATCATGCCCCACAATGACATCTGTGATCACCTAATTTCTCCCAAGAATTGTTCAACATGATATAAAGTGTTCACCTCCTATATGAATCAACGTTCTACCAGTACCCGACACTAACACAAGTCCACTAGCCCAGGACTAGTAAAACCATGGTGGGCTAGTGATAACAACCTCCTTACTCTACTAGCCCCTAAACTAATTAGTTTCATGGAAAAGACATTTACTACAACTTGATAACTTGGGATTTTTTTGTAGCTAGTTTCTAGTACATGTAGCTTGAGTAATATGAACCAGAGGACTATAGGGGTCTATTATGATCCCCTCACAGAATAGACCCCACCTTGAAAAAGCCCTTATGTCCTCACCTCCATATCACTAAAAAGCGAACTGGGTTCACATGAACCACCATAAATGTGCCATCTAACTCGAGGAAACACCATTCTACAGTGTATGCCCGGCAATCCTAATTAAATGAATAATGTCATGGCAATATAGCAGTGCTTAACACTAACGTTTTTCACTGCTAGGCAGAGGGCTAGTTAGTACACTGAATCACTACTCCACATGGACAAACCACTAGCCCAGAACAAGGCCAACAAAAGGCTAGGGAATTAAGAAACTAACTTGGTTATCACAAAACGATGAAACTTATCCCTGGTGATCACCTGGTTGGGTCCCGACATAGATTTAATATCATTAATCTGCTTCTGAACAATTTGTTCATTTTCATAATAGTCCATTAGGTAATTATACAGGACATGTACAAAAAAGCTTTGAACAGTTGAGCTCTGGAGGCTGAGTTGAGCTCTCTTGGTAGCTGGTTCTGATGCCATTACTTTGTTCCAACAGGTTGATGTCATGATACGCACACAACTCGGACTTGTGTGGGTTTACAGAAGCATGAAATCGATCACCTGCAATATACCTCCTCTTTTGGCCAGTTGTAGGATGTTGCCATGTGGATGTTTGGTCAACCTGTACCAGCTTAGTTTTAAACGTTGAGCTTACTAACTCTAGAACACTGACCTGGAAGAAAAAATTAACTTGATGTTACCAGGGTTCAAAACAAAATCATAGCTTTTAGCTGGAATCTTTTGGCTTGTTTTGACTGGGTTCATTTTTTTCTTGCTGTCAATAATGAATAAGCATGTACCCTCAGCAGTCAACAACAACAAATATTCCATACTTTCTGCAATTTGTTTGTAGGCCGCTTCTTGCAATCTGTTTAAAGCCTTTATATAATGAAATGTCATGTCTATTCCCCACAATATTTGTTGACAAGAGAACTCTTTTGCACCTGGAACATTGCCTTTTTTCAGTAAGACATTGTGAGAGACTCAATCCATGGTCATGCATGACATACACTCATTCAACAGATTTACACTGCATTATGGGTGGCTAGTGTGAAATAATCATTACATTTAGTCTGGATGGGACAAAGAATCTCACGACAGACAAACTTGCATGTAGCAATGTAAATTCATCAGCTACAATGTACTGTTTGTTTACAAAACTTGAAGAATGGTTTGTATTTAGTCCCTGGTGTGATTTAAAAAATGATCAGCTGCACTAAAAGGACAGAAGATGGATTATACAACTCCAGTTTTAACCCATTACCTGTAAATTTATGTAACTACATGGCTGTGCTCAATCTGTTTTGAAAAGCTAGACTACAATA